CAGTCAAAAACCGTCTATGCGCTGTTCGAGACCGAATGAATCTGTAAGGACTAGGAAGGATCGTGACGCTTGCCTATGCCGCAGCGACCGATTGTAGTTCAGATGATGCAAAGGATGAATTCTATGACAAGCTGTCTATTTTGCTACAATGAGCCAAACATTCAGATGTATTCGTAATGATGAGTGACCTTAACACTCAAGTAGCGAGGCTGAACCAATCAGACAGGCATCTGGGAGGTATTTACAGAATCTAATGCCAACGAACCGACAACGGAACTTTGCTCTTATAACCATTTGTTTGTGGCCAGCAACAACCTAAAATATAAAGAGGGAGACGCTGTTTTACATGGATACAAATAGATTACATTACTATAAGCCATTGTTGGAGATGATGGGTAAAGGATTCCCGAAATTTTTAGAGTACCAGTTTGGACTCCGATCACGCTTGTGCATGCCTGTACCATATTTGTAACAGGAAACAGGTGATAGTAAACCCTGTCTATGGTCGGTTAGGAAGATGGGAACGTCAAGTTCGAATTTATGGAAGGGATAGCTAAGAGATTATCTCAAGATGACGGCAATGTTCATCCAGAGGAAACATGCAGTAATATTAAGTCTACTATAGAAACAGCGATTAAAGTAACTGGTAACCTACACCCGAAGGTTAGCAAACGTCATTAGATTTTGGCAACGTCATCCGAAATCATTGATACAGGAAGACTGATTTCAGCTGGGTCTGACTACGATGAAAAGTGAAAGCAGCTGAAACCTAGGTTGACCAAGAGTCTTCGCGTCGACCGCTAGCAGTGGTGAGGGATGAAAGCCAGTGATGGAGAAGGGATTAACGTTGGGTAACCCTCAGCAATGTTTTAGGCTTTTTAAGGATAATCAAAAGAAGAAGACGATGGTGAGTGAAACTATCACCGAAAAGGATGGGACGCTAATAACTTCCCAGGAAAACGGCTAGAAAGTTGGGCAGAAGACTATAAGGCATAGTCCAACTGGGGCTCAGCGACGCTTCAGCTGTTCAACATCCAGTCTGAACCTGAATGGGACGTAGATGTCGGTCTTCTAACTCTCTTTGAAGTTAGAAAAGCTGTACTGAACCTGAAACAACGCGAAGCAGCAGGACCTGACAGTTTTCCACTTGAAGGTAGGAAATTGTAGATGAGAGTGACAGAGGTACTAGGTAGTGCATGGGAATGAGATGTAGTGCTGTCAGACTAGCGTACTTCACCGGTCATCCCAACCAATAAGAAGAGAGAGAAATCCTCTTGCAACAACCATAGGGGAATTAGTTTGACTAATGTTGTGTTGAAAATCCTAGGGTCCATAATTATCCGACGCCGAACTAGAGCTTGAGAACAGTAAACTCGAGAAAACCAGGCGAATTTCAGACGAGTGTGCATTGACTGAAACTAAGAGTACAAATACAATGTTGTCCGGCTATGTGAAGAGGCTGACAAAATACAGGGTCTTCTGAATACGATGAGCAGAAAAATGGGTACGTTTGGGATGAGTTTTGTATCTCTCAAACGTAAGATGATGTTTCAGGACTGATCTGCTGCAAGTACTCCCAGCCTAATAATAGGGAGTGAAGTGGTGGAATATGCGCACCATTTCACTTACTTGGGGAGTTGCATAAACCCAAACATGTTGGTTGCTGACAAAATCTTGGACCAGATACAGAAGACCCGTTTGGCATTTGCCGCTTCGTGTCACCTGTGGAGCTATCTATCAAAGGGTGAGTATACTGTGCTACAGTTGAGAACATTCATCGGCTGAGGTGACTTGGACATATGTCGTGCATGCTCAGCCACTACCTGCGTCAAAGTGAAATGATGGGGGAAGTTGGACTAGGTTGGAAGTGGGTTTAGGGTGACCACACCAAGACGTAACACCAGTCCCTGAAATCTCTGAGTGTTAGTCTGAGACATATGGGGAGATATAGACTGCCTGGTTGGGGTCCCTGAGACGACAAGAATCAGTGGTTGAGATCTCTTAATGATACAGCTGAAAACCAATCACGGCGACGCAGATGTGTTCACCCCTTGACATCGTTTGAAGCTTGAATATTTGCACTCACATTCAGGTTACTTATTCTCTTACACAACTTTATCTTCTTTGATGGCATTCTTTTTCTATCCATGTATTCTTTGTGTACTCGTATTAAGCGTGGCAACCTGAGCCGATGAACTCGTGTGCGAGGTTCTACGTTGATTATGTCAGTCAGTCACCTGATTTATATGGTATAGGGATAGAGAGAACAATGACCAACCTGAAGAGGGACCAATCAAAATGTACTTCATGTGGTCCCGTCTACAGTTGGACAGACGGACGATGGATCAGCTAATCAGCTGGATTCTAACTAATACGCCTTCATAGTTGGCATAGTGGTGATAGCGGTCTCTGATCAGTAAGTATCGTTTGCTGTAGCCAAACCAGTCTAGGAGCCTCCATCTCTGAAATCTCGATAAGAGGAGGTTGTCAGCTTGCGAGGAGGTGCGCTGAATCGCTTTCTATAAGATTATGGATAATCAGTGAAACATATCCCACTCACGTCTGCCCGCGAAGAGGTGAGTACGGTCAACAAGCCGATTACCAAGCGAATCTGGATACGTTGCAGTCTGACAGTTGGGATGGAAGGATTCACTGATCAGTTTTAAGGGAGCGTTATTAACAGGAGTGTTCGTTTTCATGTAGTTGCATTGCTAAAGATGTTTCCCGCTTGGTTGAGGGACTGATCTCCTAGATTAAGAGACGATTTTGTTCAAACGGATGACATCCAACATAGAACTGGTAAGTGCGCTAAAAACTGGAGTAAAACTCAGTGTATACGTCCAAAACTTTATGCTGAAAAAATAAATAACTTTTAAGTAAATACTAGTTGATACTTTTTTTCAATGTAGATCTTATCAAAATGTCTGCAGTGCTTTTGTTTACGTAGAAAATATAGATGAAAACACAGATAATTATTAATATATAAAGTATACTGATAGGTAAGATATCAATTTTATATGACACAGAAAAATATAAGAATCACCTGATGACAATGTTGACGTTGTTTGCGTTTACCACACATACATGTGACATCCACTTTTGTAGAACAGAGTAACTGAGTTCCTAAATTTAGTCTAGTAGCAGTTTCTAAGCATGATTGATTAACAGCTTCATGACAAGGAAGATTACATGGATGACCACAATCTGGACGAGGTTTTTGACACAATTGTGTACATATAACACCACCATTTTGACTAATAGATTCTGAAACAAGACAAGAACCAGAGTGACACTGACGCTGACAATGATGTGAACAACTTGAAAGGGGTTTGTTGCAAATTCGACCACATGTATGAACTTCTTGAAAACATGGTACATTAAACTTTACTCCATGCCCTGAAATTATCAACAAAAAAGAAAAAAAATCGTAAAAATATGTGAAAAGAAAGTGTAGAACAGTAGAATATAATCTTAGTTGAAATACAAACTTGGTATAGCATTGGGCACTGAGAATTTGAACGAGAATTTAATAAGACTCTTTTCTATAAAGTATATATTTGTGTACTGTACCGAGACCATAGAACCTTATTTAACGTATCCAGGTTGATAATACTATTCAGTTGCTGAATTAGGTGATTTTAATACTCGTGCAATCATCATTTCGTAGTCAAATGTTTAAAGCGATAAACCACACCTTCATTATAGAGCCGAAACAAGTTAGTACAATTACTTTTATAAATATTTTCCATAATATACTACAGAAAAACTGTGAATACATTTCGAGTGCATTGAAATTGTATCATCTCTCTATTGAGATATTAATACAGGTGTGATATGTGTACAAAACGATAATGACGCGAAGAAATGTAGAGTACAAAACATTGTCACAAAAGTTAATACATCTTTGCTGGAGAAGAAAATCTTAATCTGTGTGAATAGAAAAAGTAAAAGTTCTGAACTCCGTGAGTTCTTGGTTGGTTCGTTGCCAAGTGAGTTCCTTGTTACTTATTCCTTCTGGTCATCTGATCTTCAGTATCGAGTAAGCTTAGACGGCAGCTGTTCATGTATGTCTGCAGTTTGTTGGAAATGCTTTTCGTAAGGCGTTAAGTCTCTCAACCATCACACCAACTGATATTGTTCTTTTATGCTGAGTGCATTGCAGTGCAATGCAGCAGATCTCCACACTGATTTCAGGCTAATAAAAATCTGTCTTTCTATCTTTTCGACCGTGGCTTTGACATCCTCCTCTGTGCCGCCGCTGCCTAGGTGAAAGCGACAACTTGCTTTCGATTTCTCCCGTTGTGTGGCGATTGGTGCTTGTTGTTGTTGGTGATCGTGTTGGTTGGGTATCATCACCTCTGTCTTCTCTACATTCACTTGAAGTCTCGTTTTCTCTGCCTCTTCTGTCAACTTGTTGGATTTTGGCCGTAGATCTTCGAATTTGTGCAACATTAGAAATAAATCATAGGTGAAATCCAAATATTCTAGGCTCCTTTCATCGGTCAAACAGCATATGCTCATCTTCTTGCTCCACATAGTTTCTTGCATGATCCAGTCCAGACCAGTCGATCACAACCAGGAAGATGATCGGTGTCTTACTTGTCTTCACTTCAAAGGCGTCACTGAGCTTTCCATTGTGAATTACTTGGCATGTGGCATCATCATATAGCAGTTGAATGAGGTTGATAAAGGTTTGTGGTACTACGTAGTGTTGAAGCAGTTTCCAAATTACTTCTCGGTCAGCGCTATCGAAGGCCTTCTCAAAGTCGATGAAGTTGAGGTAAAGAGTTGACTGCCATTCTTTGATTTTATATTACCAGTAATTCAAGAAATAAAAATTGATGATGAAGTTGTGTATTGTTTACACCGCAATCAGCCAGTTGAAGACACCGCCACTATTCAGTTGAAGAAAGCATAAATACGGTAAGAACAATCAGTTTATTAAAATTAGTATGTATGTTAGTGTGACGAACAGTACTTGGCACTCAATTCCTCACTTTCAAACAATTTTAATCTTTAAAACGTATTTAATTCATCCTGCCGCTTTCAGTGGTTATCAAGAGAATACAAAAAAAAATAGATAGCTATGGTCGCTTAAACCACTTTTTACCTACCGGGGAAGTGGTATCAGCCTTGGTGGCTGGGCTCAGTGCTCGATGAAATCTCTCCACGGATACAAAATACTCGATTGGCTTTCGCCAACTTACCCCACTCATGGAGCTGCCACCATATACGATTGTCTATTAAGGGTCACATGTACTACACAGTAGTCCACTCCGTTCTACTGTACGGCTGTGAAACATGGTCATTGAAGGTGGAAGACATGAAAAGGCTGTCTTCAGGTGTCTCACCACCGTTGTCTTCGTAGCATAGGCCGTATTCCGTGGTATCACCACATGACTAACGAAGACGTCAGGTATAGAGTTTTAGGGAGTAGAGGTAAATCTGTTGACGAGGTTATGAAGCTGCATCGAATGAGATGGATGGATGACTGGGACATGTGTTACGCATACCTTGTCACCCATTGCCTCATCACACAATGTCGGCCGAAGTAGGTTCAGGCTGGAAAAAGGCTCCAGACGGCCACACTCAAACATGGCATCAATGTATGAAGTCGTTCACTGTTGGTCTCAGTCATGTGGGGAGATGCAGACTAACAGGTTGGGGTCTGCGTGACAAGAGGAACCAGTGGTTGGAGACTGATTCTTGGTGATATGCCTGACAACCAATGTCATTGGCGCAGATGTATACACACATTATCCTCATCTTAACGACTCTATACCGAATCTCACCATTTTCTCATTCTTCCTTTCTCTCTTTTCGTATTTCCTTTGACTGAATTTTCTTATTTTCATCTTTCACCCCATTACCTTTCTACTTGATGTGGTAATATGAGGTGTAGTGGGAAGTCGCAAAGTTACAGAGTAATACCTGGTCGTATGTTGATATTGATGATGATGGCAGTTGGGCAAAACCCTTGATGAAATAAAAACCTAGCCAACAGTCGAATGTCGTAGTTCAGTTGGTAGAGCACCGTGGTCTGGAACCTGATGGTCACTGATCCAAATCCAGTCGCAGCCTAAATTTTCATTTTGCTTCCAATCATCATCCAGCATTATTGAAGGAAACGAGAAGACAGAGACAAAGGAAGGGATTTTTATGATTAACATGTGGTGCAGTGGTCGTTAACACATACGTTACACCTTGCAGGTAAGATAGTCATTTGCGAAGTGTGCTTCATTTCCTCTTCTGCTACCCTCTTGATTTGCTCTTAATACGCCCGAGTTATCTCTTGTGTTTCTCTGGGCAGAAACCCTAACCACTGCTGGTAATTCCCTATAGTTTCTGCCGCCCTCTCAACATATACTACTTATATCCATCCTTATCAGCAACAGCCACTACATTATTATCATTACTATTGTTTTAACATGCATTTGGACTATGAAATCTGGACATACAAGTAATGAAATTCAAAATTTCGACTGGCGAGAATATCAGGACAGAAAAGATTTGTCAGAGCAGTTTTGTAAAGTAGATAAATATTCAACTTGAACAACAATACACTATTGTGAAAACAGTGAATACGGCAAGGGAAATAACAAAAGAAAACACCTTGAAAATAGACGGAAGTGTCCTGGTCAAGCATGTCATATATTTTCAATGTAAAAGCAATATATGTTGATGAAAACTTTAATTTACTTACCACCTGGACAATCTTTGATCATTAGAACAGTACAAGGTGGACATGTAGGCTCCATATGACAGTTGTGTCGAACTGGATGTTCACAATTATGCGTACGATTACAGGGTTGATTGCATTCAGGTGCGGTGGATCCACAAGGTTGTGGAGGCTGAAGTACAGTATAACCACAACGGCATACTAATTCTGAATAGATTACACCACGCCAACAAGAATTACAAGGACCTGAATGACATTGTTCTTCACAATAGTGTGTTTGACACGGTAATCGACGGCCACAGAGTTCCAAACACTGATGAACAGTGTCCTACAGTTTATTAATGCAGATATTCAATTGAAAATAGTTGGAAACAAAGAGAGTTTTACAAATGTTTGTCTTTCAAGAGACTTTTAATTAGTATGTAGTATCCTTCATGTTTACTTCTTTAGGTTACAAAAACCTGGTAAACTTTTCAAAACGATTTTTCGTAAATGAAGATACAGTAGACTATATGACGAGGTGAGTCTAATCTGAAACAAAGTTTGTCTGCTGGAAGGATCAATCAACACATAAGGATGAGGAATTAAGCTCTCTCTGGTGTTAGATAGTAGGAGTCAATCGACAAGAAATCTAGGACCCACTTACTGACAGTCATCAGCGTACGTGTAGTCTATCTGTTGACACGGTTGTGAACCTCCACAGAATGAGATGGATGGATGACTGGGACATGTGTTACGCATACCTTGTCACCCATTGCCTCATCACACAATGTCGGTCGAAGTAGATTCAGGCTGGAAAAAGGCTCCAGACGGCCACACTCAAACATGGCATCAATGTATGAAGTCGTTCACTGTTGGTCTCAGTCATGTGGGGAGATGCAGACTAAGAGGTTGGGGTCTGCGTGACAAGAGGAACCAGTGGTTGGAGACTGATTCTTGGTGATACGCCTGACAACCAATGTCATTGGCGCAGATGTATACACACATTATCCTCATCTTAACGACTCTATACCGAATCTCACCATTTTCTCATTCTTCTTTTATCTCTTTTCGTGACCGTCTGGAGCCTTTTTCCAGCCTGAATCTACTTCGGCCAACATCGTGTGATGAGGCAATGGGTGACAAGGTATGCGTAAGACATGTCCCAGTCATCCATCCATCTCATTCGATGCAGCTTCATAACCTCGTCAACAGATTTACCTCTACTCCCATCATCATCATTATCAACATAGGACCAAGCATTAATGCGTAACGGTCCGAGTTGCCACACCTCATATCAGCACATCAAGTAAAAAGGTAGTGAGGTGAAGGATGAAGATAAGTGAATGCAGTCAAAAGAAATATAAAGTACGAGAAGAAAGGAAAGAGGAGTGACAAAATAGTGAGATTCGGTATAGCGTTGTTAAGATGAGGATAATGTGTGTATACATCTGCGCCACTGACTTCGGTTCTGAGCCATATCACCTAGGGTCTCCAACCACTGGTTCCTCTTGTCCCGTGGACCCCAACCACCTAGTCTGCATCGTCCTACATGGCTTAAACCAACAGTCAGAGACTTCATACATTGGTGCCATGTTTTAGTCTGGCCACCTCGGGCCTTTTTCCAGCCTGAACCCACCTCAGCCAACATTGTGTGACGAGGCAATCGGTGACTAGGCATACGTAGTACGTGTCCCAACCATCTCAGTCGATGAAGGTTCACAACCTCGTCGACTGA